GAATTAGCGCCCCCCCCTCGAATAAGCGCCCCCTTTGAATAAGCGTCCCTCCTATCAGCTGAAATTTAAAATAAGCGCCCCCCTCGAATAAGCGCCGCCTCCTCTCCCCTGCATTTTGTGGATGAGTAATGAGACAACAAAGGATGTATATTTTTCATCATATAGTATTAGATTTTACATTGTTTCAGTTTGTAAACATGTTGAACACGTTACGTACTAACGGTGCCATGTTTTAAGCTTTGGGATCAGCTTTTTATGTCGATAAACAGCTTATGTTGTTGTTTACGCGCAGATGACATATTAAAAAAATGATCATGTCAGGTGACGATTTGGGAAAAATTAAATAAGCACCCCCCTTGAATAAGCACCCCACAACTTCTCCTAAATTTGAAATAAGCGCCCCGGGCGCTAATTCGAGGATTTACGGTATGTACAAATCCTAAAAATACAAATAAAATCCACTTAGTAAAAATATTCAACCTACATCCTAATAAAGAAAGGAGGTTTCAAAATGTTAAAAATTGCATCTGTTACTTAGTTGTAACACATCAGTACAGGAGGGCAGAATTCTCAAGTGGCATTATGACTCTTCTGACAAAACTGTCATTCAATAAATTACCTTCTGGAGTGCTAGTTGCACGCTCTTCATTGTCCCTCTGAAAGGCTCTGGAATTAGCAGGCTTAAGAGGTGTACGTCGTTCTGGTCCCTCCATGAAAGCACCATATTTACCAGGGCCTCTAGGGCCTTCTATCTGACCAATGCTTCTCTTCTGTTGTTCAGCAACTTTGTGTGCTTGATCCACAGCTTTGCGAGCAGAATTCAGAATAGCTGCGGTTGTGAGTGTGTGTCGTCGCTTGTTCTGCAAAGGGCTGATTTGTACAGTGAGGTTCGATTTCAAAGCACTCGTGATCAGAGCCTTGTTTCTCAGATCTGGGGCTAGAGTGTGTCGTCGGCTGATTTGCATTTGGCCAATGGCACCAGCTAGAGGTGTAACAATGTTATGCCTGTTGGATGCTGTTGTGAATTAAATCATGAGCCAGATTGATTAATAAATTCAATAACATTTGGGTTAATCCTCCCTTAAACATACTTACAACAACACATGCAAGTCACAGTTGAAAAATAATTATAATCAAATTAAAGAAATGAAAACTGAGTATATCCATAAGTGGAAAAATGTTTGGTTTTATAGTAAGTTTTCTTTTCTAGTTTTTAGCCTTGTATGTATACTATTTTACCCTTTTCAACAAAATAAAAATGTTAAAACTGACATGATTATTTGACAAGAGTTAGCCTTACCACTGTTGGGAGAAGGTGTAGCACTTCGAAGCTGTGGGGTAACAAACCCTGTCACCTGAACTGGAGTGTTTCCAGGCTGCCTGGCAATGACCTGAGTAATAAGTTGTGACAACAAAGAATTTATAACAAACTCAATAACACTTACTAACTCTTACTAAGAACTCTGNAGTTTTGGTACAAATTACTACAGAAGTGCACTGAAGTTATAAAATATGTGACATGAGTTACCCAAACACACTGTCTTGAACACAAATTGAAAGTCTGGCAGAATGTTTCAAAATATTGTTGCCTTGTCTTGCAAAAAATTGCTAATTCAAATATTAAATGTTACAATTTGCTCTCCTTTTAACTATTTGCTGATTCAAATCTTTTCATCTTGTGTTCTGGACATTGGTCTTTTTGTAACATTTTTTTTTGTATGAGCTACATCTAATCTATGTGGGAGGTGAGGTGGCCTCATGGTTAGTGCACTCGTCCCCGGATTGAGCGGTCCAGGTTCAAGCCCTGGCCGCGGACACTGGCAAGACACTTAACTCTCACGTTGCCTCTCTCCACCCAGGAGTATAAAAGGGTACCGGCAAATTGTTGGGGAGTGACCTGCGATGGACTAGCATCCCGTCCAGGGGGGAGTAGAAATACTCCTAGCCACTTCATGCTACAGAAACCGGGATAAGCTCCAGCAGCTATGAGCCTGTCAGCTCCAAGGCTTCACTTCACCTTCTTCTACAGTAATCTATAACTAACGGTTTCCTTCCTCCACAGATCCTAGTCCTCAGCTATCTCAAACAATGAAGCATTAGTTTGAGCATGTTCTTATAAAATTCCTTTCAGTATAACTAGTTGTGAAAGACATTTAGCAACTGATAGTTGTTACCTTGCTACTCAAAATAAGCAGGGCATCTTTTAGAACTGAAGCTGAGTCTTGATCCAGGATAATATCACCATCGTTGAACCCACCAAGCACCTACATCAGAAGAATTTGAAAAATCAAATCAGTTGGGATGAGCTCTAAAATCTCATATCATCTGAATGATGATTTGCAATTTTTTTGCCAACAAACTGAATCTTTATGCAGTCAGATACAAAAGCAATCACTTCATGCAAGCACATTTGAAAAGTCATTTCCTAAGCAAGTCACAATAAGAACACATGTATGGAGGGTAGGCAGCAAATCCGGAGGGAAACAGTCATTCAAACAACTTGCTGACTGTCAGTTAAAATCCAAGTCTTTTCAAGAGGAATACCTACCATGTGTTGTCAGTTCAGATCGTGTGTACCAAAGGCATCCATGGTCAAGTGTCAATTGNTACAGTCATGAAAATGATTACCATACAATTTCAGTCATTAAGTCTTGGAGTGGGTGGGTGTGTGTGTGCGTGGTGGGGGCGGGGTTTACAATTGGAAACAATTTTGCTACTAGAAAATGTTAGGTGCAAACAAGAGCACCACATGTAATGATAGTTCTATAATCAAGAAATAAGTCTCCCAGAACGGTGCACAGCTACATAAAATACACACCAGGCCCTCCAATGAGAGAGTTATAATTAGAACTAGAAAAATGTATCTTTTTAGTAGCTAAATCAAAACACATGCTCATGGGCTTGTTTACAGGCAGTGATGGTCTTTTAATGGGGACTTTTCCATCTCGGATTTAGGGGCCTATTTTTGGGAGAACTTATTTTCTGGGGAGAGGGAGCTTAATTACTATCAGATTAAACACACTCCACTAAGTATACTCATTCTATCAAAACAACTCTGACATCTCCATTTGATGGTCACATATTTCTTTCACTGTTAAGTCTGAAAATGTTTGAAGCACATAAATTGAGACAATCTTCTCTGGATGCCTGTCTTCACTCTCGCTTGAGAAGAAATAAAAAATTAGTTTTTAGTTCGTTGCCATGTGCGGCATACAGTACCTGAAGAAGGTGTGTTAAGAGAGTCAGTGTCTGTCTCCTCACAAGAGATGCACTGTCTTTCAAGCAGGTAGCAATGTTTGGGACATATCGATCAACAAGACTAGTATATCTGGAAAAGAAAAGACACTAGATCAGGCAGGAAGGATATAATTCACATACTTTACACTAATGACTCACAACTAAAATTGCTAATAGCTGCTGGGAAGTATAATGCTCAGTTGTATTCTGAGTCCAGACACTAGCATTGTGTTTATCCAGGAGAAGTATAACACAAATACACTGATTCTTACAATAAAAAATAGAGTAAATGAATCACAATATTTAGAGAGGAAACCTTCACCATAATCTTCTTGCAGCCATTGTACTTCTGTACATACCTCACACATAAGTCACACATGACCACGGTCACATTGTTCCTGATGGCTGGGTCATCGGAGGTTTCTAACTCTCTTGCAAGTGCGGCAATGCACTGCTTGGCTAAGTCTTCATTCTGAAGGCACAGTTTTCCTAAAAACGAACATTTTCAATACAGACATATCACTTTTGTATCATGCCATATGTAGAAACATACACGTCAAAGTACAGATGACTTGAATGCAAAGGCAAAAGTTACTTGATAAATTCAGTAACCTCAAAACTAGTCATGTTCAAGTTTGAAACAACTGCAGCAGTGTTTTAGTGTCTTGAGCCTATTGTTTGTTCACAAATGCAACTGCTATTTCAAAATTAATGTCTCTTTCTTACACTTTCTTTTCAAAATTTGAGTCTCTAAATCTGGGATGTTTGTAATTATTTCTCCTNAGTAAGCTAGTGACTGTATGTAAATAGCGTCACACTCCATTAACTGCGCTTTAACGATTGACTTTAAAGCTTTATTAAAATCTTTATACCATAGGTTCCACAAAAAAATGATCAAAAGTATTTCACAAGGGTAAATGTCTACAAGCACACAACATGACAAGAATGGTCTGTCCACAAGCGTGTGTGATGTGTTTTGCCGTAGGATAACCAGCATAGGGCTATGATTTGATCTGAACTTATGCTTGGTAAGTGTTTTATAGCTAATAATCTTACAGATATTGTCAGGTGCTTGGTCATTGATTGTTTCAAAAACGATTGTTAGATGACCTCATTGTTGACCCAGTAAGTACCTTCCATTAGTATTAGGTAAGAAAGGCACTGAGCACAAAGTTTAACAGGAGACTAGCTATTACTAAAACGCTCCAACAAAACTATCACAACCAACCTTGTTTGTTGTTGTGAGATATCAGCATGGATTCCACAAACATAAACAGCCGTTCTGTGGTCTTGGTTGGTGCAAGCTGTTAATAATTGAAAACAGTCAGGCAAGTAATCCACTTAATTTAATTTGTCAATAACACTTTACCTTATAATTGATATCTGCAATTATGATGTGATGAGTAAGGGATTCCCTCCTTTACTGTTACACTGTAACAACCAGCAGGTAAAAGAAAACACTAAATACTTCATTCATTCTAAGAGCAAATTGATTCCAGAAGGGGTTAATGCTCAAAATGACATCAGGTAGCACTAAAAAAGCAGCAGTTGACTCCTTTGCTTTCAAGTCCTACAAAGTTACCTTGCTCTGTGCACAAAGACCATGCCCCCAGTTTAACTGCATAGAAACTGTGTTCCTCACAACAACGTGGTACCTTAATATTCCCGCTAGATGGTCTAAGTCTTAGTTACAATTTCAGACCTTCAAAGAAAGCACAACAAACCTGTGCTACTTCTCCCACAGTGAACAAATGTCTCATAAGAAGTTCTTCATCTAAGGAGTCCCGTTTTAATGTTACACTGGACAAGAATTCCTCGGAGGCCTTCAATAAGTCAGAACACCAATGGCTACTGTTTCCCTAAAAAGGAATACAGGAAAAAGTCAAAGAACAATCAAAGACAATCTGCTGGGACAAAACAGATACATCATTAGGTTGAGTAGTACTATATCTAAACCTATGCTTAAGTGAAAGACTGGGTGAAGCAAACAGTGGGCCAAGGTGGAGAGTAAAACTAACCATGCGTCAGGAAACAGGGGGGGGGGGTGATTCTTTTGTGGTCAAACAGAATGTCAAATTGGCCACATGTAATGCCTTGACAGCTGCGTGCTCCTGTACCACACTCTGTTACTGTGAATGTGAATGAGGTAGGTTCTGGTGGATGAGGTTGACCAGTATTTGATGAGACACAATCTTTTCCAGTACACACGACTCAGGAAAGTGTGTTAACAATAAACAGCAATGTATTATGGTATTCAGCACTGATAGACAGTTGAAATTATTACAAATCTAGACACATTAATTGTGATTAAATAAGGCAGTGACTTACTCCTTCCTCTGGCTGCACTTTACAGAGCTGTAATGGTGAAAAAAATGGCAGTTTAAGTTTTCTGAACAGAGAAGGTTGTAACTTTGCTATGATCTAGAGAAAAGGCTCGGGAGTAATGAAGAAATATGCGAAATACAATACCTTGCAGAGGGTTGCTATGATAGCAGCTATGACTTCTGGAGAACAATCAAACATGATCAATTTCCTTTGTAGGTCATCTGAGAAGATGTAGAGAATGAAGCAACCATTAATTTTGTGAATGTTTCATTTTCCTTAGAGCATTATTAAAAATAAAAATGGGCACGCACAAGCACTGCAGTATTAAGCTCCCCTAAGCAGAAACCTCTCCTAATTTGATCTTTTTTCTGGTCCCTGGACTGGTGAGTCCACTTTCATTATGGTGACACCAACTTACTGTTGCCCAAGCAGTAATCAAGTTGTGATTTAAAGAGTGTGACCTACTTCTTGCAGTGATATTAAAAGCTGGAAAGTAGAATTAACTCTAAAGTAATTTGGAGACCTCTTTCCTTCTGAGGGTAATCCCTAGAAAGGAACTGGGAGACTACACATTTCATTTGGAATCATACCCTCAATATCTACTTTGCCACAAATNCAAAAAACTACTTTTGACAATAAATAAGTTTTACAAATTTTCCATGTTCAAAAAAGGAGGCATTGGGTTATGCATAAAGAAGACAACTGGTTGTTCTTAGGTGATAGAAATCTCAGATTAAATACCAAAAGATAATGTAATAAGATTTAAACATACAACTAAATAAGATAAGATAATTTTACACAATAACAAAAAGTTCAATGAAATCCATACCTTGCTGTGTTCAGTGTCAATGTGAGACATAAGTGACTTGATCAGGTTGCCTGAGAGCCTGTTCTGTTTCGACCAATGCTGAAATGCATAGTGAAGATAACGTCTGGAAGAGAAATTGCGCACATATGCCACATTAATTAAACAGTTCATGCCCATACAGTCATAAATACTTTCCCGTACAGTCATAAATACAGACTTTCCTCTGTCCCCAAGATGGCCATTGTGGAAACTTGACTGTCTGCACAACTGAGTGGAAAGAGAGACATCGGGCAAGTAGTGTCTTTCCCATGAATAAACTATGAATGCATTGACCATAGATTGAACCACCATGGTCTGCTGGCTGCTATTGTATTCTTCTAACTCATTTGAATCTTGATAAATTTCTACCGACAAGGAGGGGCAGTTCAGGGTATCAATTCAAAGCTAGTTGAAGAACGTGGTCAAGGTCATTCAAGGGGATCAGCTCATCAGTGCTGATGCTAAATTCCTAGTCTCCGTAACATAAGATAATTGACAGCATTGTCNCCCCCTCCCCCTAGCGCCCCCACTGCTCAACAATTTATCTGGCTGGCTCGACAAACTCCCAATAATCATCTGTTCACCTAGGTGTACAACAAATTCAAGCACATCACACAAAATATTGCCTTTAGTTAAAATTTATTCAAAATTTCACTTGCCTGACTTCTTGACCTGATGGGCTGACAACTCTATCAAGCAGATTCCAGGCAAGAATGTGATGTTGACCAGTTGATCTACAATAACAATAGTCATTGATTTGGTATCAGTCCTGAAGAAACAGTGGAGGACACTAACACTGGGAGATACCACAGCGCTCAGTCCTTTAAGATATTTGAACAGATTTCGTATGTTTCCATGTCACCAAGTTACACTAGCTAATTTAATATTTTAATTGATGCTTAAGATTTTACAGAACTGGAAATGCAACACAAATGTTCTGGATGGTTTGACAGTTTTCCATAGCTAAATTGTAAATTCTACTAGGGGATTGATAAGTTAATAAAGATGGCGAATTTTAAGCTCGGTAATGAAATGTGAAGGTGAATTAATCAACATGACACGAGCATGGGACAAAGAAAAATTCTGAGNATGCTTTTCCTTGTATTACAGCAGTTCTACAAAGACTTAAACCTAAATGCATAATGTTCCTTTATATGCTAATCAGCTGTATAATATTGTTCACCTTAACCCACAGATCTCAGTCTTTTAACACTACACTTTCCTCACAAGCAATTTCTCAAAAAAAAAAAACCTACACCAAACTCCACAACAGAAAAACAAAAATAAAATGCAGTGACAGGTTAGTTAGCGGTACCTTGGCATTTTTGGAGTACTTGTTAATCCATTCCATAAGACTGGCAACAAGACTGACCGGTAGAGTTCTCACAATGTCAACAACTGCCTGTTGGATAAATTGCCCATTAACAAAGAATAAGAACAATAATTATTTTGTAACTATTGTCAACCATGCTGTCTGCTCAGTATATTGTACTGCAATAAATAGTATCCACCACTAGTACAGTCGAACCTCCCGTAAGCGACCTTCCAAAATGTCCAGCCTTGGTGGTCGCTTACAGAAGGTGGCCACTAACAAGAGCTCAGACCATACTGGATCAAAATTTTGCCTCATTAGTATATGGTGACTGCAGAGACTTATTCATAAGAAATGTCAATTTCGAAAAAAAATACAGTACTTCTCATTGAAAAATTCCCGTCTCTTTTACTATCTACAAATGCAATTATGTTACAACACCTTATTATGCAATTTGCGCTCTNATCTCATTTAACATGAAGTGAAAAAAACTCAGTTATGGTTGTCTGTGATTTATTGTTGCATAACTTAATTTAGTGAAGCAAGTCACTGACTTACTGTTCAGCGCCACTTAGAGTTCTTTGTGACCATAAAACTGTGCTCCAGTTGAACACTTTTAATGTGACAAAATGATCGTTAACAGAGGTGAATTAATATAAAATGAGCCAGTTGGGAAGTTCAAAGGGTGACCACGTCTGCTTAATAGAGGTCACCGCTTAATGGAGGTCACATATACAGTAAATATGTGAAGCTAAATTCGGGAATTTGAATGGTGACCTCCTAAAAGAGGGTGACGGTTTAACAGAGGGCTGCTTAATAGAGGTTTGACTGTATTGTCTGTAAAGGGAGTTCTAGAAAATCTTGGTCCTGAGTTGCAGTGACAAGACAGTTCTTATTTCTTCTTTTTGCTGTTGAAACCTGTTGCAGCAAGAAATGGCAGAATATTGACTTATGTATACCTAATTTTAGAACAGAAGTGTCAATTAACTCATGTTTCAAACCTACAGTGCGAGTGACTGCTCCAACATCGCCATGAATGGGTGAACAAAGAATACCAAGACCCTGCAGGAAAAAAAATGTTCGAGAGAACTGCTTGAGAGAACTTGAAAAGCTGTGGAAACACTGACCTGCAGCCCCTGTACCCACACCATTTCTTGTTCTCGGAAATTTCCACTTCAGTTTCTTAACTCTATAGAAACATGGAAAGCCAGTGTACTTACAATGTATGCCAAGGAAGCAATGGACTTGATTGAATATATTTGGCTCCTGAGGAAGAAATTTTACAAAAACCATGACACTAGTTTACATGCTGTACATCACTGCTAACACACACATTCCATAGTTCTCAAAGATCTCCAAATTGTACACAAGTCACACAACCCAGCCCAAAGCAGCCGACACCACTGGTATGTATCTTGGATTCCACTGCATTAAACTAGCAGACTAGGCACAGATTGCTATTCACTCTAGCTGAGATGCAAACTTGGATTTAGGTTACCTCCCCAGATTTCAATTGCATTTACTGATTATGCCAATGTGCCCCGCCCTCCCCCTCCCCCTCATTTAATCTTGTGTTGTTGCAAAAGACCAATTACTAATGGAGATCACAGATGTCAAGGCTGTGGTCTAAGAAAAATGGTTCCTAACCATGAAATCCTGGGTGTCCAGCACTTATGCTTATATGAAAAAAATAAGTTTTTCCAGTCACCTAAGGTAAAAGTTTAAGAACATGGGCAGCAGCAGCATCGGCTGCGGAGGACAGAACAGCCTGGAGGCAGAGAGCTTACGGCCCAATTCTCCACTTGGAGAACGGATAAATGATGATGAAGGTAAAAGTTAGTAACCTGTGGCACCCGGGCACTTCTAGCGCACAGCACTGGATGTGGTTATTATTTCAACTCAAATTTAGAGTGTAAACATACCCAGGAAAATCAAATGTGATTTGTTCACATGGCACAGCTTCAAGACGTGTGGTTTCCACAAGCAACTGGATGACATGATGAACAGCTTGTTCAGAATCTTTCAGGGAGTATCCATTTAACAGCATTACAACATCCTAAAAAAATCAATAAAACATTACTGTCTTGAGTGAAGTGCTGTTGGAACAAAGTTCATACAATACATGTACATAATTGTCCAAAATATTGTCTAAGCTGAAAAATCATATAATATAGCTCTTTTGAGGTGTGGCATTCATAGTGTCTCCCATTTTGATAAAAAAAAAGAGCAATTAGCTCTTTAATCACTAACATTTGCACGTAATTTTCTGTGACAAGATTAAACTTAGTTCTCCTTTGTTTTCAGTGAATTTTCCGTTTGGACTCGCCAAATACTTCCATCAAATAAAAAGTAAATTTGTTCCAGCAGTGGAGAATTTCTTAATGAAAAGAATCCTCCTCTGTTTTACCTGTAATAATGCCAACAGCTTGACTTTCACTTTTGCCTTTGCTTCTTCAGTGTTAATCTGCCCGGAGACTTCATCATCCTCATCATCACTGCTGCCGTCAGTGTCATTATCGGAAGCATCTTCTATCTCCATACCATCATTGTCATCTTCTGAAATCAAAATATACTATTAATAGTGTTAAGATGTGCTGTTCCCAAGGTCTTTCTTCCTCCCACCCCTGTTAATTACTCCAGGTGGCAGGAAGAAGAAGAAGAAGAAGAATCCTGTGAACAAAGTTGGTGGCTAAGCTGAAATGACATAGAGCTCAGCAAGGACATTTTTGAGCCATGAACATCGACTGGAACTTTATGTTCTTCCAGTTACATGTTTTCAACATCAAACAATGATCTAGAAAGCTCTCTTGTTAGCATTGTAACTTGAAGGTTTCAATGAAAAGTCAATAACAAGCACACTAAGAAAAAGAAAATCAACTTCCAGGTCACTTCCATCTCTCAAAAACGTTGCGATTAAGCTCCATAATAAACACTGAAACACTTCAAATTCTTTACACGTCCAAAAGAACTGGTTGACCAAGCTCAAGCAGTAAGAGATCTGATGTTATAAAAACATATTCAGCCACATTTTATATAACCTTACCACTTCTTCCACGCCTTGTTTTTGCTTTGCGTCCTGTTGAAGTGGCCTCTTCTCGTCTCTTCCTCTTATTTGTTTCTGAAGTTAATACATTGATACAACATTGAAATTCAATTTGAATCTTTGATACAGATGATGCTATGTAAAAAGGGCTTATTCGTATTCCAGGATTGGACTGGAACTAGCTTGCCATGAAGGCTCATGTGGGAGAATATCATTAAAAAGAGATAAATGTCATTTACATTTGAAGACTCCCCGCATTAGCCTCGAGTTGTAAGCTAGTTTCAGTCCCATACTGCGAATACTAAAATGGGCTGCTGCAACAGTCAACATGTAGCAAACAACTAAGTTAGAAACCCAAACTGGTTTTAGCTCGCATTCAGTGCTTGACATACAAAGCAATTTGAGAGGATTTTGAACAAATTCAGAAATTTTTGTAAGTTTCTTCAATAATTCCCTGAAGATCCTGTTGCATCCCCAAATAATATTTAGAACTACTGCATGTGGCCTTGAAAGTGTTCTTGAGTAGTTTGTAAAATCCAAATTGTACTTAAAATCAAATGATTACCCCATGGTTACTAGCCAGAAACTTCAAGAAAAATATTAAAACTGCAAAATAACTTCTAATGAATTATCTATCTTATAATACTAAACCTTTCTGAGGCCAGAGTCGCAAAACATCCAGAGCTTTCTGGAACAACAATGGATGGAAAACCTTGTACGCTCCACTACCTTAAAAAGAGTGTATTAATCACAATATTAATAGCTGCAANTCTCACCTGGTATTTGTACCAAGACTATGTAAACATTTGCTGCCAAAACACAACTCTCGAGTTTAGGTCCAGCATTTGACGTCTGTGAGTTGAGAAATCGATACATGTAGTTTTAGTCTGCACACAACATTTAGTAGTGATATTATTTCTAGAGGTTAAAAGAGCTACACAACGGATGATGCATCTTGAAAATTTGCCTAAATTTTGCCAGTCTGTCAAGGTCACAACACACAAGTGGAAAAGAACCTGCAACTAGTCACTGCAACGAGTCACTCACATCAAATACAAATTCTTTTTTTAAAAAAAGGGAGTTGCAAGGACCAAAATTTGGTCCCTACTACTCAAACAGGTTTGAATTAAAGGGACAAGCTCAGGTGCTTGGCCCTTTATATGAAGAGTTTGTAGGAGACGTCTGACCAAACAAAAATAAACCAAAGACCTTTTACCAGTAGATTTTGCTTCCCTGTGCAATAAGTCCCCTTGTGCAAATACTACAACTGTATTCCTAATTAAAGAATTCTGCAATCCCTAATCACTAGTAAACGTTAAACTTGAACATGGGTACTCAAAAGCTACCATGAGAAACAGGGAAAACTATACAATGTACATGATCTTTTACCTTATCACAGGACTCAATAAAAGAGTGAAGCACTGAAATGAGGACCCGGTGAGAGAAATTGTTCTCTGAAAGAACCTTCCATAAACCTGAAAGAGATAATGGATTTTTTTGGACATCGTTACTCCTAATTTTCATGGCTCCATGTATTACATGGACACTGTGGGCAAAAAAAAAATCTCTGTTTATCATTTTTATGAGTTATTCAAGAAGAAAAGCAGTGGAAGTTTTGAAGATTCCTATTTTTTTTTAATTTTAAGGAGTGTCATGTTGAAATAAGTGCCCATATGACCAGCACCTGTTAAAGGGTCTTTAATAGACTAAAAGACTGGCAGTCAAAAACACCCAGGCTTTAGATACACTTTTGAATACCCAGAAATGCACTTTGGTCAGCCTGAACAGCACTGTGGTAAACCAGGCAAGAGTGCTTACAGTCAGCTGTCAATAATGATAATGGTAGCTGCGATATATACATAACAAATATTTCCACCTCTTTGCTGCCAATGCTGTGGTAGTCTAATGGTTTGTGGGCTTGTGTGCAATCCCCCCCCCCCCCCCCCTCTCCCCAGGTTAAATTCCCACTTACAATTAGCGGGCGTTTGCGTGAAAAATAGCTGTCAAGTTTGCGAGCTTAAATTTCTACTCGACCGGCGATGTAGAAAAGAGATGGTTATCGAGCATGCTCTTGGTGAATNCATCAGAAGCAACACAAAAATTATGGTGATACAAGAGAAACCCAAAAAATGAAATTAGTAAATGTACAAACCCCCCTCTCCCCAGGAAGGTACTTCCTAGTACTGCGCTAATAGGGATGTGCCACCAGACAGTGTTCCAGATAAGTGAGGGGTCTCGGGTCAAAAACGCGACAAGATCAGCTACGCAACCTGATAAATTAGTAGAAAAATTATAGCGCTTTTGGTGGGAGCATTGGAAATTGACCCATTAGAATTCCTTATTGGCACCCAACCTTTAAAACTTACCTGGAACCCTGACCGGATGGGGTCACATTTTCACAACTGGATTGACTGTAATGGGGTTGAATTTTCAGTAGAGTTACCAGAATGGGGTCGCATATTTTTGGGATTTTGGATGTAAAAAAGTTCTGGCATGCAGGGATTTAAAAATGGGATGATTCGCAACCAAAAAAAATGTAACCGTTCTACATTCAGCTAAACTAATGTGTCACTTTGCTCATAAAAGGCTTTATAAGGCAAATATATAAACAGAAAATGACCAAGTTGGGATCACTAAAACAGACCTCATCACAGTTTTCGACGCCATCTTGACGGGCAGGCAGTGTTCAGAAATTACAGTGTTTGTATGGGAATCCAATGGCAAATAACTTTTTCCAAAATTGAATTTTACACAATTTGTGAATCAAAATGTTAAAATGCTAGGCAGAAGATTGTATTCACCAAGTTTGGAGGATGTAGCTTGGCTAGAAGACGCTCAGTTAATGTTTTCTAATTTTCCATGCATTTGTCTGTTATTTTTTTCCGCGAACCGCGTCTAGACGTCCATCTACCCAGCCAAATTTTACAGACAACTGTACGGAAAATTAGAAATGGATGGATTTTTATGGATTTACCAGGAGTGATTTTTTTACGGCTTTTTATACGTATTTTGTTGTTAAAAGGGGATGTCAAAGTTGAAGTATCATTCTTGGATTAAAGTATACTTTCGATCCCACTTCCAAAGCTACCTGGCTAAAGAATTAGCTGAAGAAATTTAACACGGTTGCTTGTGAGCCTTTCATTCTGTACATGCTTTTGTTGCTGTGTTCCACGTTGATCGGTTATTGCTACCTCGAGTTTTTCTGTTTTACGATGCACAAAATAGCCAATCTCAAATCAAAAGCACCTGGCGCTATAAACCAGACGGTGAGAAACGTAAGGTTACCTTCATTCAAACTGCCTTGACCCTCTGCAGCAGTCCATAATCTTGAAATCACCAAAAGCTCTTGTAGTTCTCGAACAAAGCATCCACAATCGAAAATGTTGTTTTCTAAGACCTCAGGAAACCCTTGAGACTCAAGAAAATCAGAATTCCACGTTTGATCAGCCCACTCTTTGCGAATAGATGAGATCTGAAGGCCATTACAAACTGAAATTGTTCGCTCTGTTGTAGAACGAGCCATTTTAGAACGAACTGGATCCCGCCTTTTTTATCGACTTCAAGCTTGGTAGCCGCTACCGCGACAACAACTAGCACCTCTAGGATGAGGTAAGGTTGACGACTGGACAAATTTTAACTTCCTTTTGTTCATATAGTGTAAATTGTTTAAGGCTAATCATATAGGAAACTACAGAAAATAGAACAAGAATTTCTAAGGCATGAAAATATCGCAATAATTTTAGAATTTTATTTTGTTGAAAGATGGAAAATCTCAGTTGCCTTGCCACTTGAATCAGAGATATACACGCTTTTTTTGAATTTTTAAAGAAATGCTCAATAAAATATTATCATTTTCAAAAACGCGGTACTCCTTTGTGTACTAAGGTGAAGTTAAAAAAATTATCTTCGGGAAAGCAGAATGTAAAACACTTCCTCTCCCTCCCCTCCTGAGGAAATCTTTTGCATTGTTGCCACGTGAATCTCTCATCGAGGAACAAACATTATATCAGCTGAGAATGGATTAAAACATATTTTTGAGAATCAAGAAGAGGTTTCCAAGCTTATCGCCGTTATCCTTTTGATTTTGCAGTGAAATCGTTGCTTTTTACTTCAGCTTCCCTTGGCAGAAATGGTGAAAAAAGAAGGCGGTAGTTCGGGGGAGAAACGACCAAGCAAGTCCAAAGATGGCGGATTGAGTGATGATGATTCGAAAACATCTTACAAGAACCTTGCTTTTCTTTGTCTGATGATTTTCCCATCGCTATTCTGGCTTGTGGCCGTCGGCAGTGATGTTGTTTCTAATCTTGGCTCCGTGTTTGGGAATAGTTTGAAGGCTCTTTCGATCACCATCTTGTTCGTGATTCCAGTAATCGCAGGATATTTCATCAAACCGCTACGAGGGTTTGTAAAGCTGTTGATTCCTGCACTGCTTGCAGTGCTTCTCCTTCCCACCATCCAAGTGTATCTGTGCTCTCCACTGGAAATGAAGAACGAGAACATCGGAACGCAGTTCAGTTTGAAAACAACTGCCGCTGAATTTCTTCAACGGGCTTGTGAAGATATCTGCCTAAATAACTCTAAAATTCCCTCCTCGTATTCTCTGACCCTCTTCACACCGAGAGTTTCGCTGAAAGTCAAATTCAGCCAAATTGTAGACTTGAACTTAACCACATCAGCTATGGTTGGAGGGGAAAAACTTGCCATGGCAAAAATCGTACTGTTGAAATCTTGGAGAAGTGTGAAAGGAAAATATTTTGCTCTTAACATAATCGCAAGGGTACCAGTGAAGATCAAGAAATTTCAGGAGAGGTTAGCAGCCGAACAAGGAATGATTTTGTCGGGTAGAGTGGAAAATATTCCCGCTGATCTTAAGAAGCTTCGTGGTGAATTGGAAAAGCAGAGACATTTTGTTCGACCCTTTGTTTTGGAAGTCTTTCGGGCCACACCAATGGAACGGTGATTAAAGTAAGAATTTTAAGGATCGTAGATCTTTTAGCACACTCTATGAGATACTGTGTGAATTTATTTTACAGAGATCACCTCCCCCAGGTTCATGACACCCTTCCAGAACTTGTTTTTACGTCATAGATATTGAGATGTATTTATGCATCAGTAAGTTAAAGGACCAATAAAATTATTTTGATATAATAAAATTCAGTCTAAAACAATAGACCTCAGTACAAGGTTCTGGGGAATAACTACAGAGTTTGTGGTGTTTATTCCCCAGAGCCTTGTGCTGAGGTCTATTGTTTTAGACTGAATTTTAATATATCAAAATTGTTCTATTAGAAACCACAAATAAATGATATTCCATCTGTGAATGAGAGCTCTTTCTCAGAGTGGGAAGATCAGATAGGAAAATTGTCAGCTCAAGTTCATGGTATTTGGACCAGAACGGTGATCGAGGTCCCTGCAAAATGACAGAGACCCAGGTACTTCACTTAGTTACCCTCCAAGGGGTAGGCGTGAATTTTTTTTTTTTTTAACCATTTCAATTGCACCAGGATTTTTTTCTCTTTTGTATGTATGCATGATATTTTTTTCTCAATGTAGGCATGCCTTTTTTCAGCTCAATCAACATGAATGAATCTTTTTTGACATTAGTTGTATACATGAATTTTTTGGGGGGGAGGGGGGGTGGTAGGGACAAGTGGGCTTACAGGATATTTTTCCAAATCACCGTTACCCTCCTCACAAGTCTAATGGTCCACCCCTGACAAGAGATGGTGTAAGGGACACTAGGTTTTTTCTGGGCTTCTCAAGATTTCTCAAGGGGTGAATCTAGAGGGAGGGTGCAGGGGATGCACACACCCCCCCCCCTCCTGAGATGACATCTTCTTCATATTCGCTTTTAAAATTTGTTTTACATCACCAGTCAGTTACACCATTCCTTAGTGGTGATCTCTCTCCTAAGAAAAATCCTGGATTTTGCAATCTTAGCAACTAAGTAGCCATTGCTGCCGCTCTAATCTCTATACCAGGAGGTGACACTCTCCCTGAAGGTTTCTTATTAGCATTTTGCGAGATTGATACCATAATTCACCAGTGTTTTTTCCTTGGGGTTTTTTTTTCAGGTATGTTCTTATAATTGAATCAGAAAAGCAGGTTAAAAACCCCCACTCACCCCACTCTGCCACTGAAAATTATTATAAATAAAGCATTCCCAGACCAAAATTTCTTTATAAAACTATTTATTTACAAAGTCACACAATTTTCACCTTTTATCTAAATATGTGTCTTGACTGACAAAAAATAATCACCAACTCAGTCGTGATAACAAGTGTTCTACATTTCTGTCTCAAGAAAATCTAGTCTCAAAATAAATATTTTTTGCCACACTAGCATAAGTATTTATAAAAATATTTCCCCATCCAAATAGTTATCTATTTTAGTTATATGACAAATCTATATTTACATCTGTGGTCCCCTTCTAGGAAAATAATATTATTATTATATAAAGCAGTCTCAAAAAATAGATATGATGAACTGTAACAAATTCTAACAGCATTTTGAGGATATAATTATTATCAAAGTTTTCGTATTATTGGATGCATTGCTAAACTTGATTATTTTTTTCACTGTTAGGGATGTAATATACTATGATTCCAAACAATCATGAAATAAGTGAGCAAGTTACCTAAGATGTACAGTGATACCACAAACACTGTCTTGCATAGCAGGATGAATTTACTAAATGGGGTGTGGAAAAATTCACTACCTGCTCAGTGTTTGAATGAACTAATGGAATGCTAATAAATACTAGTAAAATGTTTGTAGGCAACATCTTGAAAATCTATCTCAGGCTAATTAACAAACATTAAATAACTTATGCATGGATAGGCTCACTGGTATTACTTCCCGGTACACTAAAACTTGGCCGATTATCAACAACTCCCTCAGGTTTCACTTGCGGAGCATGAAGCTTACTGATATGACGAGACAAGTGACTAGGGTTGTTAAAAGCCTTTGGACATTTGGAACACCGATATGGCCTTTCCCCTGTGTGTATAAGAATATGACGCTGTAAATTGCCAGAAATTGAAAAGCACTTTGAGCAATGAGGGCACTGATATGGCTTTTCCCCCGTATGAACTCTTGTGTGAATAACAAGTGCGCTTTGTTTGCTGAATGCCATTTGGCAATGCTGGCACTTAAATGGTTTCTCGCCAGTGTGGCTACGAATATGCCTAACTAGCATTTGAGAATCATTAAAAGACCGAACGCAAAACTGGCATTTATACGGCTTTGTACCTATGTGGACAAGCAAATGTTTCTCAATGGACTGAGAGTCACTGAAAGCACGTCCGCAATATTCACATTTGAAGGGCTTCACTCCAGTATGACTGTAGGTGTGCTTTTCCAAGCTCGTATTGTCATTAAAGCCTTTGCTGCAGTAGTGACACTTGAACGGCCTCTTTTTGCTGTGCACCAGCATGTGACATTGCAGTCCATCTGCACGCGTGAACGCTCTAGAACATTCAGGGCATTTGAATGGTTTCTCTCCAGTGTGGGTGCGTTCGTGTGACGTCAGGTGTGAGTACCACTGGAATCCCTTTCGGCAGAATTTGCAGGTGTACTTTGCATTTCTCCTCCTGCCTTTTCTGGGAAGTGGGTTTCCATTTTCATCAACATTGGGAAAACCTCCAGGAGAGCGGTTTTCCTTCTGAGTCGGGCTGTAGGCCTCATCATCCCCATCAACTTCGCTGTAGTCCTCGTCCTCGTCCTCCTCCTCTTCTTCCATTTCATACTCTTCCTCTCCATCCCACGTGCCTTCACCATTGGAATGTGCAAGAGCTTCTTTTTCAGAAATGTAGACACGGGGAGCAGCAGATTCCACCTTCACAGTCCATGTGCCCTGTTCAGTTGGCGGCCCAGCCTGGATGCCATAATCTCTCATGACTACAGTGTATGAACCACTTTCGTCATCTTGTGGTGAACCAGGAGGAGTGATAACACAGCTGGATTTGTTCAGAGCAGGATTGTGACCAGGAGATTTGGTCATCCTCTCTTTGCACTGGAGTTCCGGGCTGGCACTCTGCTGTGGGTGGCTCTCCTGTGGGGAAGAATTGTCTTTGATTTCACGATGAGGCATTGCTGTTTTTCTCCTCTTTGCTCCCTTTGGTGGCTGGTTTGATGGCTGGCTTGGCTGAACCATCGTAGGTACCTCAGTTGCTGGAACCCTGTACACAGGACTGCGCATAAAGTCTGGGGGTGGTGGGGCGTAAACAAACTTTTGTTTGTCTTCACCATCAGGGGTATACTGAGGAGTAGGTGGCTGGCTTGTATTCTCAACAGGGTATGGAAGCGATGGTAAATGCACCGGTTTCTGATCTGGATACTGCTGCACAACTGGTAATTCAGTTGGAGGTCTATTCACTGGATAATAATGGACTGCCACTGGAGCTGGCTTTTCAGCCTGGTACTGTACTGCTGGAGCACTGTGAGGTGGGTAATAAGACTGAGGTGGTCTCTCGTGTGGATAGTGATGTTGAGGAGAAGGCACTGGCCCTGAAGTTGTCTGCCCTGGTGGTGCAGGCTGGCTGGTGGGCACCTGCTGGGTAGCTGGTGGATATGGCAGCTGTGCAGGTATAACATGAACTGGGTAGGGGGTCTGGTTTGGTGCCACTTGATATTGGGGTGGGTACATTGGTGGTCTTGTCAATTTCTGATCCTGTGGAGGGTATGGATGTTGCCCTGGAACCGTTTGATTTGGCACATGGTAGTGCTGAGGCTGAGGCGGCCCCACTGCTTGCACAGGGACAGGATATGGCTGAGATGTAACAACTGGAGGACCAGGAGGTGACAACTGTTGAGGCGACACTGGTTCTGACTTCGTCACAACATATGGGGGAGCGGAGACTGGCTGAGCTGCTGTGTGAGGTGGATAAGCTTGTGATCTAGTGATTCTTGGATCTGGTGGAGGGTACGGCAGAGAAGCCACTGGAGCATTACTTGGCTGTGGTGGGTAACCAGGCTGAACCATTGGCGATGGCGGCACAGTGTGAGCTGCTCCTGGGCTAGACATCATTCTTGGTTGATACACAACAGGACCCTGAGGCTGTTGCTGGGGCAAGTGATGCTGAGTGTGTGATGGCCCCTGTACCTGTGGTTGATGGGGCATGGCTGGCGGTACTTGTGACTGTGCTGGGGGCTGTTGTGGTGCCGTGGGAGGAGCCTGTTGCTGATATGTAGGCTGCGGCTTGGCCTCACTGTTATTTCCCACTGGTGCATATAAATTAGGAGAACCTGACACCTTCTCAAGAATAGCAGCTCCAGGGACTGCCTGATATTGTACTCCATTGGAACTTGGAATAGCATACACCGGGAGGTAATGGACAACAGGTTTCACAGAAGATACAGAGGTTTGCACTGGTGCTGTCTCCTGAGGCAATGGCTCTTTTCTCTGGATGTAATTTGTTGTTGCTGGAGAAGAAGCTGGTACATTAGCTGCAGACACATTTCCACGGTAATCTTCATTTGGGCGATGTGAAGGCACAGCTGGGCTATTTCTTGATTTATCTGGATAAACAATGTCCATCTTTTGCCCGATGGAGTGAACTTCGACGATCTTTACATTGTCCAAGCCCACGTTGTTCACCGTTGGCGCCGCTTCGTGTCTCTCGCGCGAGAATTTGCCGCCAGTCTCTGCATAATTAAATTGCGTTGGGCTTTCTCGATAGATGGCCTTTTGATATTCAAATCGTGTGGACTTTTCTTGACATCTCGCTGAATGCGTGGGCGGATTGAACTGATAGTCGCCGTGGGGGTTCCCCTGAGATTTGACTTGCTTGCAGTTTGCCGCCGCTGCATAATTATGTTTCCTTTGATGCGATGAAAAAGTCGTGCGAGGCGCTTGCCCGTCATGCGGAACGTCCCTGCGCGAACTTGCGTCGTGGCCAACTCCTTGAGGCAGTTCGCCTCTCCCTTCTTTGGGTTCTTGAGCAACTTTGTAGTAATAAACTACGGACTTCTTCGGGTTTCTCTTACGCGTTTTCCTCGATATAACTTTGTTTCCCGCGCGTGAAATTTCTGCGACGGCATTTTTGTTCGAGACGTAAACATCGGCTTGGCTGAGACGCGAAGCAGCACTTATTTCCCGTTCGTCTAATTCTGCTTCGCTCTGCGAATGCTTTCGCTTAGCATGGAGACTAGAGGGCAGTAAGTGAGGGTCTGTAGACGATGAAATTTGATCCTCTGGTCTCGATGAGTGCACGATCTCGTTGCTCTGGGGATCTGTGAAAAAAAATCAAGTGACAATGTGAGAGGGAATACCGTTACTGGAAATAGCTGACCGAAACGGCGCGTTGGTTCTAACCCCAACTTACACGGAACTGAAAAGTTTTCCGATTCTTGTCAAAAACTAGTACTTGTACTTGGATAAAGAAATGGGGCATTTTTGAGCTGTAAATCGCATTTACGAAAGGTGAATAGCTCACTCTAAAGAGGCGCTTCATTAACTATTCAAAATCTGAGCAGTAAACAGAAAGCGCGCGGTAATTAAGTTAGAAGCTAACAAACTCTCGAAACAAATTTCTCGCAGAGGAATGCGGTAGAGATCTTGTAACATCTTCCGCTCAAATATCTATCTTAGAAACTGTGGGTAAAGATAAGCTGACCTTGCCTAGGTTCGAATTTTGATCAGTTAGTTAAAACGCTAAATCCAAGCGAAATAATACTGTCCCCGCGCAAACTTGCTCGAGTTTACAAAAGTTTGAAAATATCCGTCTGGCAAAGAGTTCCTAACTAATCACACATGCCGGACTTTCGAAACTACCGGAGCGAGATGACTTTGAAGTGAAGGAGAAAATTTCGAAGAAGTTTGCCCGATAAATTCACGCAACATCGAGGCGTTTAACTCACCAGCAACTTCGTTGGAAAATTGTCCGTGTTGGTGTTCGAGCTGAGATGCCTGTTCTTCCTCCTTCTTTTTCTCCTTCTTGGCCTTGATTAAGAACGCTCGCGGCATGATGGCAGCCTCAAAGCTGGAGAAAATCCTACTCCGCGATTCCTGTCGTTGTGCTTCACTTCAAGGACGATGACGAATGCTGCCGTTAAGCGCTCGACACACTGCATAAAAGATATTAGCATGTGGCTATGAGATACCACATCAGTATTCAATGCTCATTCGACAGGAGAATTCCGCTGGGTGACGTCACATGGCTGAAATATCATGAATGTAACTCCCCCGTCAATTTCACCCGGGTTGTCGTGTGCGACGTGCTTGCAACATGTAAAACATTTCCTACAGGACGGCAAAATCATTTGCGGTTGCCGTCGAAACAATTCGGGATAACCAAATGCCGTCGAGTGACGGCTAATCGAGGGAAGGATTATCAAAAATAGCGAGAAATTCCACCACATGAAGCACGAGTCAATATTAGCTCACTGCCGCTACCCCTATCGGGGTCTATTTTTCACCGGAAGTAAGCGATTACGCTACGCTTCGGCGCTTTGAATTCCGCTACTACATTTCCCTCACGGAATTTTTCCCCGCACGTGCGAACTGGCGTTTGGTGGAAAGTTCTTCAATTTCTCAACTCGAAGACATGAGCTGGCCGCAGCTCAGCGCTTCGAGAGGCCGAGAATCTGTGTTTTAACGACTATTACGCGCTTGAATTCCCCAGTGTGTTCAGGAAAATTTACATTATTTTGATCTTCAACTTCTGACACGTGTTATCCCATTCACCTCCGTTGAACCGTTGCTAATTTTTTGACGTCATTGCTTGCTCCTATCAAAATAAGCTAAAAAAGTAGGGAAACTAAATCCTACACTTCTGTCCCATTGCTAGAAATAGCTTTGTCGTAAATGAAGAAGCGATTGCGAAAACAAAATCCGTGCAGTCCATTCCGAATTTTTCAAGTTTCGGGTAATGAGACGACCGCATAACAAGCATTGTTTTCACTTCATAAGGGGCAAATTAACATAACTAGTTTTTCGAGATTACTGTGAACAAACAACTTTGATTCTTTTCCTCCTCAAATCAACCTATAAATAGCAGTTTTGGTGAAAGTTATTTTATCAAACGTTTCATCTGAGAGTGCCTCAATATTCGTTGACTGGATATGGGCGCCGCAGTTGAACTTCGTCTACTCGATATATCTATGTGCCCTTTTTCGTTCGTTTAGTTTATTATTCAGCAATTCCATCAAAATACCCCGTGTTTGTTTTCTACTGTTATGGAAACCTTTTGAAAACCGAAAGCCCGCCCCTTCGAAACAACCGACCTCTTTTTTATAGTCTCAAACCTTCAAGCTCCTTTCGTGGCAACTTTCAAAGCGATTATTGTTGCTCTCTTGTGAATATAGCGTTCTCTTTTGCCCCTCAAACCAATATTTTCCGTTAACTTGATAAGAGATAACTGGAGATAACATTTTTCCCAGTAAAATATGCATTCTTTAGTGGCGTCCTTGTGTTTTTGAAAGTTCCTGGTTTTATTCAAATTACGTTTCCCACACACTCGCGGAATGTACTATAATTAAACTAATGTTTAAAGATGAGGCTGCTTAAAAGCTTTCTTGTTTAAAACATTGTGTAGTTTAAATGTCTTTTTTGACTTCACCTCTGGTTGTTCAGATTTAAATAGCTAATTGAATACCATTTTACTTCCTGGGGTGTTTTGGTGCGTTTTTTGTTCAAGATTACACTCAGTTTGTTAAAAGAGGAGGTTTCATCAAACACAAATATGATCACAAACAATCTTTTGTTACAAATGTCTCACAACAAACGCAAAACCAGCTCACTCTCGAGAATATCAAATTAAATGCTTACTTTAGAAAACTATGGCATATGTGCATTGAATTTATGCAGGACAAGGCACGTTTCTTCAAAAACTCATCAGATATTTGAACTCGAAACAGCGGAAAACAATACCGGTTTTTATCCGTTTTACCTCTGGGTACAATGCAATTAAAATGCAAAACGGAAAGAGTTTTAAGTCAACCGTGAAGAGGGGCGGAGAAATGAATTAGAGAAAGGTCTGAAAAACAGCTTATTTGCGAAAACATTACTCCAGTGCGTTCAGCTCGAAAGCGCTAGAATCGGCCAGCGATTTGAAACTTCGAAAATACCGGCGTTGATTTTGATTTAGAAGCATTGTATAAGCGCGTTCTGTGGTTCGTAAGTCTATTGCTTAGGAACCAACATACCACCAGTCCGGCAGGGTGAGTTCATTATATATACAGTCCATCTTCTATTGTTATCAGGACTCAAACATTAGGCGTTCAATATAATAGACATTTGTACTGGAATCGGCTGCCTAGATACGGGGAAAACAATCCAAAGAGCTTAAGATAAATCGTGAATTTCAGGCAACTTTGAAACGATCTCATTGTGGTTAGATTGCACAAAATTGATGCTTTATCTGTGCGGATGATGCCACGGGTAAAGCATTGCCTTTGGCAATAGCGTACATGTGTCTCGATGAAGTAATCATACACACGTACAGCGCCGAGCGAACACAATGCAAATCTAATAATCCCGGCCCTTTTGACCTTAACTCCTCCTACGCGAAGGTATTTCGTGCGAAATAAATTTCCGCTTTGAAACTAGCGCTGGGGAATGTTGGCAATTTCAGCGAAGAAGTCACTTGTTGCACACACTGCACACAAGAACTAACAAATTAAAAGCAAGACTGGGGATTCTCCTGAAATGTGGGTGACGAAAACCGTCAATCCCGATGTTATTTTTCAACCTACGCGTCATTAAAAACAAAAAAGTCGCAAAACTACTGAAGCACACAATTTCTTGACGCAGTTATATTGCTGGTGATTTGCATGAGAATTGGGTTGGGTTTTGCATAAAATTTTTCATCAGTCGTGCATTGCTGCACTGTTTGTTTTCTTGTCATCACCGATTGAGAAAAATCCCTCGAAAGTCGGAAATCGGAGCATTGGAACGATTCAAGATTACACCTTTGATAGTTTTCTGCGAAAGTGTGAAAACACTGAAGAAGAATCTTGCATCGTCACTGCGCACTTCAGTGGCTTCCATCAGTGGGTGATTAAAACCCCATTTAAAGTCGGAACCCTTTTAAAAACACTGACGCGCGAAATCTATTTCAACACCTCATTCAAAACAAATTTGACCCTAAATTTATTTACAACCCTATATTTTTTTTAAGGAATCCTTTCGATTCATCGCTTGGAGAAACAATACCACACGATATTTTGTGACCCTAACAGTGGTATAAATGAAACGGTTGTCTGATTTTTTTCTCCAATATTCGCAGATAATTTTTTTTTGTGTTTACTCGATTATTGACATTCCTTACGGAGACGCTTCGTCCGTCGAAATTTTAAAAGGAATTTTTTCAGGAGGCATTTGACGCTTTTGTTTGAATCAACGCTGGTAAAGAATAGCATTATTGTTATTTTTCATCTTCGGTTGAGGGGGTTTTGCGTCAGTGAACCGTTTATAATCCACACCAAACGACAAACATCACGGATGAAAATACATGCGTTCGAAAACATTCCCAATATTTCCAGATCATTACTCTTAATTGTAACGAGCCTGAGCACAGATTTAGCTGTTTTGTGGAAACAGTATTCCAAGTCTGAAGAAAGAAAAAAACAGTATTTCCTGAAATGAATTGGACGCCTCATCAAAAGGTTGCAATATCGAGAGAAGATTAAATAGTTATTGTGGACATGGACTTTCCATTTAGCTGCTTTCAAATTTTTCTACCCACGCTGGGAAAAATGCCCATATCAGAAATCTCAGCCTCGATTAAACGTTTTGAGTTACAAAATTGACGAAAAGTGCAAACATTTTGTGGTTTACAGTGAAACTTTTAAATTCCTACCTGCTATTTTCGTTTTGGCCCCTTGTGATGCAAAATTCCTTTACACACTGGGGTTTATAATTGTGTGGAAAACAACATATTTTGATTTGAATTTAGTTCGAATAGTTGAGCCTCGCTAAATTAAGATTTTTGGTTGAAATTTTACGTATTTGGGCTAGAAGACTGTTGCTCTACTCTCAGTTAGTTGTCTGAATCTTTCAACTCGCCTGACATAACAGGGAAACACATTCCGACTCTAAAGTATTAAAAATGCAACTGATTTTCTCAAGTCAAAGCAAGTTAAATCAATGCGGATGTTCTCAGAATTCAAAATGTAACTTAAGTACTCTGTCTCTGCCTTTTTCCTCATCCAAATTTCCGTTTAAGATTATTGTTAGTTTTCCTTAAAGACATATTCGTGCAGACAACCTGTCTTGCATTATAAGAACGGCTTGGGTTCTTCAAAATGCTAATCCAATACTTCCATTATTTTCCGTTTGCTCTTTGAAATGTTAATTTCAAGTGATCTTTTAAGCTGATAACCTGAAGGAACCTAGCGTTAATTTTCCGGTTAAATGTCATAGCGTTGAGGCTGGTTAATAAACTGTTTGTAAAAAGGAAACGGCCGCTTGCATTGTTGAGACACTAATTAAACGAGCTTCTTTACATTTAATAGACTGCTCGCGGGCCTTCATGGAAAATCTAGAACGTTGTACGTTATTAACTGTACCGACACATTTCAGTTTTGTATCTTATAATTATAATAAACAGAAAAACAGAAAAACCCGTAGGCATATATCCGGACGAAAGAAAAATGGCAAATAACTTAAACGAGAGAAATTGAATTGAAAACTTTAAACATGGCTTGGTATGTCGTGCAGACAAAAACCATTTCGTGCGAAAGTCCTAAAGCAATGTTTTTTGAAAACATCCAAGCTTTTGAAAGGGCTGTTATTCCATCTACATGTTACTGACCTCCTTAGAAGACAGGTCAAGTGGAACTAAAACAAACCACAAATGAGTTTTCTTATGCCAAGCCCTCGTCAACTGTGAAAAAGTTGAATTTAATGTTGTAATCAGTATTTCGGTTAGAAGATGTTTGTGTGCAGATACTTTTCCGTCCGGGTTTGAATTTTAAACTTTTGATGTATGGCATGTTTTTAGAAACAGATTGTAGTAGAATGACAACACAAATATAGGTCTTTTGTTACTTTGAGCTACTTTGGAACCTCCAAGTGAAATTACCCATGCGGAGATTTTTTATGTTCATCTCGAACTCTCGGCGAATTTACGAAACTATGAATAATACACTCTATGGCTCTTTAAGTGCAACAACGATTTAAAACCCGGGGATAACATTAGCGTGGGAATACACTGACTGAAGCAGAAAGTAGATTGCATCTTACGAGTTTCTTCTCGCCTTAGCATTTTTTCCTGTTTGCGTTTTGTTTACAAATGCCCCGGAGCAATTCGCAACGGTTTTATTAATCGGCGTAGTGCGATTATGAATGGTGGCACCATGCTTTCTTCCCTGCTTTATCAGTGCAAACAGAAGCAAAATATTT